AACTGTCTCTTTTCACATGGCGATGTCCTACGAACTGGAAATTGCCACCTCTGCAGAACTTTCGAACTACTTCTGAACTGGTTAAAATTTCGACAGTTCTGGGACTATAAGGTTTTTATGAGAAAAAATTTTAAAACTTGATTATTGGATATTTTTCTTTTCTGAACTGTTTACATTTTGGCCAGATCTGCGACAATAAGTTTTACATATATGAAGAAAAATTCCGATTATTCGATTTTATTATATTTTTTTCTGTTCTTTTACAGATCGCATTTTATTAAATTTTTTTATTCTTTTAATTTTTTAATGATATTAAATTTGATCATTTTCTCTTCAATTTTTAAACGGCACTCAACAATTTAAATTCATTAAATTTTAAAATCACAACTGCCTCCACCGCGATTTGAACTCGCGACCAACGATGTTAGAGTCGGAGGTCTTCCCGCTGAGCTATTTTAGTATTGTACGAGAAGTGAGAATTTGTGCATTTACTTCTCAACAGAGCGCAACTGGCACACCAAAAGTTTCAACTGTCCCTCTCTGCAGCCGTTTGGCACTAGTTCAGAGATAGTTCTGAAATGTATAGGGCGGAACTAGCGCTTTAACAGACTGTCTCTAAATTTTACTGCAGGGCATGTACATACATATGTATGTATATGCATGTGTGTGCACCAATCTATTAATATCGTTGAATTATTTTAATATCTATTGCAAAATTTTATACAGAGGAAGACTAAAAGGCAGAAAATAAATAATACAAAAAAACGTTTTATTATACAACACTTTTATAAATGGACTAAAAAGTAGAAAATAATAATTCTCAGTCCCATAGAATTTGTTTTGATAACTTTTGATTTTGAAATTTTAGCAAAAGTCATTATAAACAATTTATGAGATTGAAAATGAAAAGCGTGGGGCGCATGTAATAGACCAGAATTGATATGAATGGTAATATATGTATGTATGTGGTATTATGAATAACGACCGCTTAAAATCGATCTCAAATGTGTACTTTCTGTAGAAATTTTAGGTCTATGTTATGTAGTTTGACTATTGTCAATTAAATCGAATGCTTTGTATTGCATGCGCCCCAAGCTTTTCATTTTCAATCTCATATATTGTTTATAATGACTTTTGCTAAATTTTCAAAATCAAAAGTTATCAAAACAAATTCTATGGGACTGAGAATTATTATTTTCTACTTTTTAGTCTATTTATAAAAGCGTTGTATATTAAAAAGTTTTTTTTTATATTATTTTTCTTATTTGCATCATGAAAAATATGAAATGGTTTAAGTTATGGAAATGATTTATTATAAATTTACACAAAAACAGGCTTGCATACAAACCAATGGCAACACTTCGCGCTGAAAATGAGAGATAACAGTTGACTTTTACGCTAAGTGCCACGTACATGATTTTTTGCATTTTTTGCTCTCTACGTCCGTCGACCTACGTTTACGCTACGCCGTTGACTAACTGCGTTTTTATACTTTGGAGTAGACAAATTTAATTCTGCAACCCTTTAATAACAGCGTAGAACGGAGTATGAACAATAGCAAAGGGTGCAATAATTGTGTACATCCAAAGCTAAAATTCTCACAATAAATTACTATGTTAGCTGAAAAAAAGCAATATTTAAAATGCAAAATTACACCTAATTTTCTAATATAATCTTCCAAAGAATCTTCTATCGTCGAAAACCCTCCAAGCTGCAATTCTTTGTCCCAAAAAAATTCTAAACTTTCAAAGTACCACAACGCGGGCACTCTCCCTTTTCCGAATTTTTTGCAACTTCCGCCGGCAGAAGGCTCGTATGCCCTGATATTTTTTACAGTTTCTTTCGTGGCAGTTTTGTCTACTTCCCTCTACTTCTCCAGCAGATTTTCCATGATTTTTGTTTTTTATTCTTATATTTATATATTTTTCAATTTTACTTTGCCAAATCGCAACTTCTCCCTTCCAAAATTAAAAAAAAAATGTTCTATTCAACAATTTTTATTGAGCTTGAGACCGTTTTTAATGAAAAACTTATTGTGGAAAAGCAACAATAGTTTGGAAAAATGGTAGAAGCGATAGCTATTTTGGAAATCACCAAATTTCCTCATCAGACTTCTTTCAAATTTCCACATGATAATTTTTTCTATTTTGTATATGCATGACCAGAAGACAATGTAGGTAGGCTATCTTAATCTTCATCAGCCCAGAAGAGTTTTCAGGACTTCGTTTTTCCTTTACGAATGAAAAAAGCTAGTAATATACATACATATATAGTTGTGGAAAGTTTTCGTAGCAGACTTTTAAAATAAAATGTAATAAACATGAAATAAGTAGTTTGCTATAATAAAAAATACTACAAATAAAAAAAGTTAAAAAAGTTAAACTGTGCCACAAAAGCTTAGAAGAGTTTTTCGGACTATTTTTCAAAAATACATGTTTATTACATAGAATCAGAAATGCAATGAATTTACTTATAAATGCTAAATAAGCAGTTCACAGAGGATAATGCAGTGAGAAATACATTGGGAAGGATTCATTAGAAATGGCAACAGAAAAGCTCTTCGTTCATATAGAAAGTGGATAAACTAGTTGATAATTTTTTGCTATGTTTTTTTAGAATAATGACTTTTACAGTATTAAATAAATTAAAAGAGAAGTTTAAAGTTACCGTTTACAATAACTTCGCCTGTTTTCTTCATAAAATCATACTCGGAGTCTAATAGACTCCGGAAATTTACTGTCAAAACCTAACTAACCGAAATTGAACGGCGTGTGTAAAAAGTTAACTCAAATTCCAAGACTTGTCTTGGGTGACATTTCGATTTGACGTTTATGCTCAATTAACATTTTGGCGTGTTAAAAAAGCGACGGTAGCCCTCTACAGCTATAAGGGGGCGATTGAGCGTAGCTGGGGGCTGTCCCTTAGCATCATGTACTGGCTATACACGGTAGTTGTTAGGCCGATTCTATTATATGGGGTCTTGGTATGGTGGCCAAGTCTCAACAGGAAATCTACAACTGAAGCACTCCAAAAGGTGCAAAGAACTGCGATGCTCTGCATCTGTGGTTCTCTGCGCACAACTCCATCGGAGGCTATGTGCGTGCTGCTCGACATTTTGCCAAATGAAATTGTTGGAAAACAATCAGCGGGGTGTGCCGCCTTGAGGTTGAGGGAACTACCAGGCTGGAGGCTGGGGCTGGAAATATGTTTTCGCTTACCCAATCGCTGCAGCGTTTTTCAAGCTGAGGTCGCTGCTATATAGGAAGCGGTTGAACACCTACGTACAAGAGAAGTCATTTATAACGATATCTTCATTTACTCAGACAGTCAGGCCGCACTCAAAGCGCTCGACTCGGTCACATACAACTCAAAAACCATAGCGGATGTCGCAGGTCTCTAAACGAGATGGCTGAGCAGGCTGCGCTTCACTTGGTATGGGTTCCGGGGCACCGGGGCACCGGGGCACCGGAACATACCAGGCAATGAAAAGGCGGACGAACTTGCAAGAGAGGGCACATCCGCTCCACTTTCGCGGGCCTGGAAGGGATTAGGCATGCCGCTCGCTACCTGCAAGCTCATTCTAAGCCAAAATGGGACAAAAAGCGGTCGAATGATCCCCTCATGCTGAGCAGAGGTGACCTAGCCGCAGCTGTGGGTCTGCTAATAGGCCATGTTGCTATTGGAAGGCACGCGAAGAGGTTAGGGATCTCCCATAACGACTTCTGCAGAAACTGCAGAAATGAAGAAGAGCCAGAAAGCTTGCGGCACCTGTTATGCGATTGCCCCGCACTTTGTAGAAGATGACAAAAGTTTATGGGTTCAGGATTCTTTGAGGACCTAACCGACATAGCCGAAGTAGGCATACGGCAACTTCTGGGTTTCGCGAAATCCACACGATGGTTTGAGTAGGAGGGTTCTAACGATCCGCGTGGTATCACAACGGGCCTACAACCAAGGACCTATGTGTGCTAGTGGCGTCACTGGCAGCCACTTCAACCTATCCTAACATTTTGGCGCGAATATGAATTAAAATTTTGTTCAACAAACTCCTGTAAATTTTATAGAAATGCAACTCGAGAAATCACGCACGCAAATTGATTTCGGTTTATCAAATATGAAAAACTTGCATGCGTGCGCAGAAAAACTCACGCCGGTAACAAAGGTTCAGCTGTAAAAGAACTTATCCAAAGGCTTTTTGAAGTACGTCCTACAAAGCCCTCCTGAAAGCTTTTCTTTGGGTAGCGAAAGCAGAAGCTACTGCATACAAAAAAAGAAAGGAATGACTTTTAGAAAGAGCTTTTGGAAGAGATTTTAACTTCAGAAATGATCTACTGGGTAGTATGTATGACTACTTTTTTTTGGGATTGGCCTGAAGATAACAAAGTAAGATTTTCACTAAATAAATGTTGAAAAAATATTTCGTTATCACATCGTTAAAAGCAAAAATCTGTCAAAAATGAAATAGGCGCCTGTATTGGCATTCATTGAAAAAACAGGACAATTTAGGTCTGCACCAGGACACCAGGACAATTTTTTAAAACCAGGACAAATCCTTGAAAACCAGGACGCCTGGCAGTGCTAAACAGGACATTAAAGATTTTTTGAACTTAAAAATCCAGCCATTTCATATAAAATTACCTTATTATTTATTCACTCACTAAAGTCAAGACTGGTTGTATTTTAAGAATTGATGTACTACCGTTGTATCATAATATTTAATTATCTTCCCCTCTCTCACTCTTTTCAGCCCCTAAACGAGGATAAATATTTATGTTTTAGCTGCAATAATTGGTTAATAAATTGGCACTCATTACAGGCGTCAAACAGTAATGACGCAGAAAGCCCATCCGGTACGTTTCGACCTCAAATGAATAGTATGTTTCACAAGGAGAAAGCAAAAAATCCCCGCCAACAAACACAGCCAAGTCACATGCATTGCCAAAAAAATTACCAACTTTGTCGTCCCACAGCCAAAGTGCGACCTTGGAGAATCACAGAAAAAGCACACAATGAAATCAATTGGAAAAGACAAGTGCTTAAGAAACAAAAGGCTTTTACAGGCAAAAGTAAATGGATTCTGAAGCTTCAACGCAAATATCACGAAAATCGCAGAATATCTCTGAGGAATGTTCGGCTACGTCGTAGTCTGAGGCAATGTAACACTTATAATTTTTATCTTTTTAGTCATAACAGCAAACCAAATAAACTGTCCTTTGCAAAATTTGTTCAAAAACTCAAAAAGCAAAGGTATATCGGAGAAGAATATATAAAGAAAGTGAAACAGAACCAAGAATGTTGGGATCCAGGTGTTTATCAGAAGAGTAGCCCTGGAGACAACAACAATGCGATATCCGAACTAAACGAGAAGACATCGGTAAATAATTATGATAAGCAGTGTTTAAAACGTCCTATGTTAGATGGAAAGGTAATATCCATGTTAAGGCGTCTGGGAACTACGTTATCTCTTGAGAATCGCGACGCCAGCGCAAAAGCTTCCACACCACTACTTCGGCGAATAATGAACCCTGTAAAATCAAAACCGCAATGGAAAAGTCAATTGAACGAAGATGAAATTCTACTTGGCTTTGATTCCGCAATATCGGAAGTGCTACCACAAGTAATCCAACAGCGGCAACAAAAAGTCAACGGTAATAATTGTGTACCGGAAATTTTCGCTGTGATGCAGGCGAAACGAAAATTGGCGTATCAAGTATCATTTGGTAAAGATGATAGTCAATATGTTTATCCACGGCTACCTGAAGGCCTGAGTATTTCTTTGGTTTAAGTGCTTAAGATTTAACGCGCGGTGCAATCACTGAGTGTGGTGACATGTGTGAATATGCATACATACATATGCACATATCTATGTACATACCTACATGTGTATATCGATACACTCTGCGCTGCATTTGCACGTTTAAAAAACTGCTTTCAATTTGGTCACACGTATGAGTTATCAAAAATCATTCAAATCAAAAATCATACACACAATTATCTCCACAAAAAACCTCACTTTATAAAGCTATAATCAGCTGTTGAAATTGAACGGAAAATTGCCTATCACCTTGAAATAAAAATTGCTTTCAAGTTGATAACAAACGGAGACCGCAAGGTGCGCAATTAGGTCTCTCTGTGCGGTGCGCAGGCCCCAAAGGACCGGAGAAATATTTTCGCGCTCACACTTTTGCAAAGTGTTTGGCCGAGCTGCTTCAATTTGTGGAGTTTTACTCCGCATCTGAGTGGCAAATAGATTTTAAGAGCAGCTTTCTCATGGCAGAAATACGCTGCTAGAAAAACTGTTTCTAATATAGATGTTTCTCCAGACTGATATCGAATCCAGGTCCTGCGGAGTGGTAGTACGCACCTCTAAGCACTCAGCCACAGTGATTTCGGAGTCCCTGAAAGCTCCTTCAGAGCATCCGCAAAGACTCCGTGCGGACTCCTCTATTCGCCTACGCTATTTGACTCTTTAGAGATAACCTAGTCGGAGTGTTTTGGGAGTGATCCGATAATAGTCCGAAAAGTACAGGGTTTCTCAAAATGCTCCTAATTTTATTTACAATCAACAAGTATTGGAACATTTTCATCTTTTCTTTTTATTGAAAAATGGCTTTCCATATTATACCGAACATAAACAAGTCAAAACGGAGAAATAATGAAACAAGTAACTTGTAGCAAAAAAAAATACAATACAACGGACTTCAATGGTGTGTTTTTACTCTCTAGAAAATAATTTATGTAACCTCACATACGCGGTTTTACATTATCTTGATACCAGGGATTGGCATTGGTTGATCGTCAATTGTTTCATACTCAATCAATACCGCTGCTTTGTATGACTGAGCAGCGGCGTTGGCTTAGGTCGGTGTTATGCAGACAAACTTTTGTTTGCCAAATTAAATGGCGGCTGCTTAGTTTGCTCGGAGGTGGTTATGTCGAGTTTGGCACAGGGTTGCACGTTCATCATGGTTTTCATGGCTATTGCCAACACGAAATGAGAATTTCAGATGTACATAACGCGCACAATTAATATATTTTTTATGATATCGTATAGGCAATTAACTGTGCCCTAATCTTTGAAGCTCCTACAGCATAAATTCAGTTATCTGGCTTTCGGTATCACGGCAATTTTTGTGTATAGCAACAATTGTCTAAAATTTTTGTATATGACAACACCGAATTTGCTGCAGTTTGACCAAACGAAATTAGTTTGCTGTGAGAGTCGCCAAACTCGCTCTCTCAGAGTTTGCTGCAACAACAATTGCACGCAGTTTGTCAAACAAAATTTCTGCATAACACCGGCCTTAGTAGTATCGATACCTAAACGAAATTAGAGGATGACTGAACACCAGCGCATAGCGTGCTGTCTTGAAAATACAGCCACCACAAGTGAACGATGCTTGTAAAGGTCTGATTATGCATACTTCGCATAACTTCGCACAACCATTTGTACCAGTGCAATAAAGATGCAACTTAAGAAAATGTGAAGCAAAATTTAAACTCAACAGATTGCTAAGTTTTTAAATGTTCTGCTAATTTCTGGGTAATGGAATAAAAACAAAATACGTGCAAAGTACGTACGAAATAACAGTTTGAAGTTTATGAGAAGTTATGCGAAGTGTGCATAATCAGACCATAACAGCTCATACTGATATTGACTTCGGCAAACCTGTACTCCGAATGATCGTGCCCGAAGCCAGCAAACGCGGCAGTTGAACGGTTCCGAAAGCATGAGAGCTCATCATTTGTTGCAGAAGTCTTTTGACTTGTTGCTGAAAATCATCTGACTTGTTGCTGAAAGCCATTTGACTTGTTGCTGAAATGACGACGAATGTGGTAAAGGGTAATTTATCGTCTCGTATGCATGTATGTATGTATTTATAGCGCGTCTACCATTCAATTGCTTTGCTCAATGCTGGCTAGTTGTGAGTAGTGATAGAACTTTTTAGAAAAGTATCGATACCTGTACTCATTTATAATACTCTAAAAAAGAATCGATGCCAGTACTCATATTTGCAAAAAAGTATCGATAATACTCGTACTTCCAAGTATTTTTAGGGCAAACGCGAAAAGTTAACAAAAATCAGATTGCTTTGTTTACATTTATGTACATATGACCTCTTTCTTTTTGTAAATTGAATAGACATTGGCTTTTAATAGTTGAAGTCTGATCTAACAAGCATTTCTAACGGAGTTTTTGAAAAGAACTTGCAATAAGTTTAAAAGCGTAAAATAAATGCTTTTGGCAAAAGGCTTATTTGAAGCTTTTAAAAGCAACTAAAGCCATTGTCTAAAGAAAAGATAAGCTCCCTTTCACAAAAATTTTCTTCGAAAGCGGGCAGGATTTCGAATTTAAAACCAAGGTAGAATTCATTGGAAAACGAAGGCTCCGTTATTCGGGAGAATTGCCAAGTTATCGAACCGAAGACCACCCTCCTAACCCATTCCTTACACCGGCACAAAAAAAATTGTTGTATGCTTTTAACCATACCCACTTGCCGCCACATATTTCGACCCACTGAATCCAAATCTGAGGTCTGTTTGACTCGTTTTTGTCATTTTATTTTCACAATTTTCGCAATTAACTCCAAATTTAGGAGGTGTACGAGTCAAATGGACCTCAATACATGTCGATATGTGGGTCTGGTTACTCGATACTACTCAGTACTCATGAAAAGTATCGATATTCTGTACCCGCTACTCGTATCGTTCTATCAGTAGTTGTGAGGAATGTGCATACGTACGTATGTACATATGTATGTACATATCAATGCTTCATTTCAAACAAGCAAGTGTCTTTGAATGTTTTTGAACTACAGTATCATCCCTGCAAAAATCGCGACTACTCCATGCATGCGTGTAAAGAGTACTCCCAAAGGACCAAAGAGTACTCCAAAATTAACCACAATTCATATAAAAAATATGGTCCAATTAACATTGCGATGTCCTAGGGCAGGACCATATACTCCATCCCTGCATTACATCAGAGTAGCACAAAACTACTCCAACATATTAACAATGGGCATTGTTGTTATATTTTTTCGTTTGTACACGCTTTTGTTCTTCACTTCTCAAATGCTTTTTCGAAATTAATAAAAACCAAGACAAAAATTAAAAATTACATGTTGCCTCTGACGGTATTCGAACCCGAACATGCTGGGAGCTAAGAACTAACAGCGAGCATCTCTACACGTTCAGCTACAGCCAGACATGCAAATGTGCTTTCAAATGCTCAACTTCAATCACGTTTCGTTAAAACACGAGCAGTGATCGGATAACAAACAATAAGCTGGCGCAGAGACACGAGTTGGTCCGCTACAGCATGACAGAGGAACACTTTTGTAAGTACTCCAATTTACCACAAATAGAGTACATGGTCCAACGATTTTTGCAGGGATCACTTCGGCAACACGTCAAACGTGCCTTCAGCAACAAACTAAAGGCGGCGGTTTGACAACAAATCAAGTTAGCTAACTGCGGCATCTTGCCTTCGCCAGTCTTTCACATAAGCTCTCATGCAGTGTTGCCACAAAGATTTTAATTTTTTACCAAATCTCTAAAAAAAATTACCAAACTCAGAAAAAAATTACCAAATTTTTATGAGCATAATATTCTAAACAAATTGGAAATTATTTTTCGACGTATGTAGATAATACACCACGTCTGGGATTGTGGCCAGCTTAGATCTATTTATATTTTTCGACCGAAAAATGAGTTCTTCCCATTCTTTTATGACAAACTCATAAAAATGCATGATGTCGCTGCCACGTTCAAAAAATTCATATCACCATCGACTGAGCGTTTAGATAACGAAGACGAACAATTTACAGGTGTGGTTGTCCTTTTCAATGTGTTCCGACTATAAAAATTCACAAATATTTTTAATGGCCGGTTGTTCAATGTATTTAACCGGAGCTTCTACCTCCGATTTGAACTAATCAGACATTGAACAATCGGCCCTAAAACATAAAAGAAAAAAATCGCTCATAGATTTATAAACATTTAAAAGGTGTTTAATAGTTCATTTCTACTGCAGTTTACGCCTATTGGAAAAAAGCAGATTACAACTCGAAGGAGGTAGTTGCTCATATTAGGTACAAGCAAATGAAAGGAAAATAACAAAAACGAATAAATAAACATTGCAGATCACCTATTGTTGAAAATATCTAAACTCTTAACTGTAGTTAAGCGTTTGGTGGAAATGGGCTGTAACATACAGTCTTTTACATAATTTATTTTACATAACTTAAAACCAAAACATGAAACCAGCAAATGTATCGTTAAACGGTAGATAAAATTTGCTTTTACTATTTTATAAGTGGGTCACATTCGTACTTAATCGCAAACTTTTAATTAGTCCCGTGAAATTATTTTCTTTCACCATTGGTTCCGGCAGGTAAAAATGATCCAAAATCCAGATTTGTGGGACTGTAGGGGCTGGATCGAGCCGCCATATTGGGAAAAATGGGTGATTTCCTGCTATATTGCAAACTCATACTAAAAGTTGTCAAGGCAAATTGTTACATTAAAGAGCCCTTTCAATTTTTGGCTATCTTCCAAAAGCAGTATCGTGCTTTTGGCAGTCGATCAAATACGGCGGTTGCTGGTTTCGTGCACGATCATTCGAAGTACAGGTTTGCCGAAGTCAATATCAGTATGAGCTCAAGAATGATAGAATCAGTGTTGCCAACCTTGAATTTTCAAAAAGCACCAAAAATTTGTAAAAAAAGCGTTTGATCACACTAAAAGCACCAAATTTTTTTGAATCAAAAGATGCTTTTTTCATAACAGTTTGTATTTAACAAAAGCAAAAAATTAAGAATATTTACAAGAATACATACATAAATCAATACACAAAACTTTTCGCTCATAACGATTGAATAGCCTCTACACATGCTATGATGACTCATACGTACGACGTAATATCGAAGTACTGCGCATTAAAACTGGTATATCTCGAGAAAGCAAAATCGAATCGCAACAAAGGAAAATGATGTCATAAGTAGAAATGAGCAAAAAATTTGATGTTTTCATTATATAACCTCAAATATCGCCAAAAACCGTGTTTTTGGCACTTTGAGGTTAGGATATCTCAAAATTCTCAAGAAAAAGAGAAATACTTAACTTACGCGAATAGAATTCAAAAATATGGGTTTGTAACTTCAGCTTTTTATCAATCATGGTTATATTTTAGTGCATTTAAATTTGTAGATTCTTGTAAATTCAGTGCTGCCACAGCTTTAAATATTTCAGGTTTTACCTATCTCGGAGGAATTTTAGTTCAGAAAAAAAGCACTAAAAAAGGTACTAGGCACTAAATATTTTTTTTTGGCGTTTTAGTTTTCAAAAAGCACTAAATCTAGTGCTTAAAGCACCAAGTTGGCAACTATGGATAGAATACAAGATTGCGCTGATCAGAGAGGATTTTTGAGAATAACTTTTGTGTGACGTCACACTGATGCAATTGCGAGAGAAAATGCCAAAACGTGAGCAAGAATGAAAGAAGTAGAAAAAATGTTGCAAGGAAAACGTAAACAAGTTGCACAAGTGTGACGTCATGCAAACAACGATTCCGTCAAATTCGTTAAGAGAGGAATAGCGGTTCGAGATCGGCGCAACCTTTGTATTCTCTCAATCGTGGTATGAGCTGTTATAAGCATCGTTCACTTGTGGTGGCTGTATTTGCAAGACAGCACGCTTTGCGCTGGTGTTCGTTCATCCCCTGTTTTTAACGTGAGTAGGCTTAAGGCCGGTCCACATAGAACTTTCGCGTTGGCTTTGGCGCTGGCGTTGGTTTGACAGAACGCACGTTAAAAGTATGCTTGCTACAATGAACGCTTAGCAGCGAATGCTTGGGCCTCTAAATTAACATACTAACGACGGATAAATAAATATTTCAT